GCTACAACCAAATATCAACTATCAAACCATAAACCACAGACTCACAATATCCTGACATTTGATACAGTTAAAGAGGCAAAACAAACAATCACTCTGCTTAGCAAGGTGGAGTAAGTTCAAAGGCCAGATCTTACTGTGTAGCTACCAGGATGTCTTTTGGGGCTTAAACACTGGAATAATATTAGAAATTACTTGGTGTTTGTATTGAACTCCCTCTAATGGATTTCATTTGTTCATATGAGACTACCATGAGTAATACACAAAGCTCAGAGCACAGATTTGCTAGGAAATTGGACAGCGTCAATAACTGCAACAGTTCCTCTGAATATACCAGCATCAGGCAACAGTACTGAGAAATCCTTTTTAGTCTTAAACAATGCATTTACAGTTCAGTGGCTGTTATTTTTACACTTAAAATGGCTTTATACACCAAGCACGGAAGCACCACATACATCTAGTAGTGAAAGATGCTTGTATCACAGTGAAAAAAGCAACAAACAAAAATATTCTCTCTGCTCAATCCTGAAGGTTTGAGGGTTTCTTAGTTTGTGCGTTTATGTGCAAATAGTACAATGGCACAGTTACTGTTACATTTTTAAAATATTACAAAACTAAATATTTAAATTCTTGAAGGCATGCTGAGTTGTTGCTTAATAGCTGGGACGATACTATAAGTTGCTACATGGTTCACAGAATAGCGTCTTTTTTTTTTTTGTTAGTTTTTTGTCACGATAGGCTGGTCACTACCTGACCTATCAAGGTTTCCCTAGGCAGCAATTTGCTGATGTTCTGGGTGTTTCATAGGATGCGAGCAGATTGGTAACCTGGGCATTTTATGTAAATGTTGGGGCATTTGCACGTATGGAACTGGACACTCAGTAAGTGTAATGAAGTTCCACGCAGTAAGACATTACTATGGAGATTATACGGTATTCTACAAGAACAAGAGGGATGAAAACAGGATGAGAAATAGAGGAGATTAAGAACAAATAAAGGAGGTGGCTTGAGCAATACAGGGAATATTAAAAAAAACACACACAAAGGAACAAGACAGGAGAGAAAGAAATTGCACGACAGGGAAGGCAACTCTGCAACAAATTGGGAGTGAAATTTACTTGAAAATACCTAGGCAACAATTTCCACGCAGAAATTCTAAGTAAATTTTACATGGGGATAATCCCAAGTAAATTGTACTTAAAGACACAGAGTAGTTTCTAAAGATGTATTCAAGTAAACTTTACTTGAAATTTTCTGTTACTGGTAATAAATCTTACTCACTCTTTCTTAGTAATTTTTATTTAGAATGCATTTGCATAAATACTTTCTTTTGTTCACTTTTATTTCAGTTATATTTAAGTAATGTTTACTTAAAATGGAGTTATAATTATAAAAAAATAAGCCTTTTTAAAATCAAAAATACACCAACATAAAAAAGACAGACTTCAACAGCAGCATCTTTATTATGTGCTATAAGCGTCCAAGTAACACCTTAATTCACAACATACACAGACAACACAGCACCTAAAATCCTGCTGATTTGTTATCATGCCTTTTAATGGTTAGTGTATTGGAACAGAAAACAGGCCACTGAATAGCATGATCACCCATACACAAAACCATGCAGCCAAAGTACCTTTTGGAACAATTTCGGCTTACAGTGGGTAAATGTAGTTTACAAAGACATTTGCCGTCTGAGGCCAATTCCTTTTATCTCAACATTTGTAAAAACATTTAACACTTCAAGAGAACTTCACATTCAGTACATCTTCAGTTCAGTGTACAAAATTATTTTCTTGTTGCCTTAAAGTGAAAAGGCTTTGAAAGAGAACAGGACGTAAATACTCAACTTGTTTTTAGTTTTAAACCCAGGAACCCAGGAATGTATGCTCATGCTAGAAGTTTTTTCTGCAAAGACTGGACTTTGGGAGACATCTTAAGGACATCAAGCTCAAGAAAGAGCTTCTGAAACACTTCAAATGTGTATTTCAGTTTTGGTGGGTAGCTTAGGTTCATAGCATAGACAAAGGCCATGAGCAGAAGATAAGCCTTTGCCACATACAGTATCTACAGTTATCAAGAACCTCAGTTCCCTTGATGATGATCGACACATCAGCAGGAGTAGGGCCTTCGGTTGCAGCACTTTCAAGTCATCCTGTCAAAACATGAGTACATGTACTCAGATGCATATACTGTACATGTTGTTTTCAAACTTTGTCGCTTCGTATGCTGTGGTGGAGGACACAATAGCTGGCTTCAGAGTTCTGCAAGCTGATGTGATCCCACAGCCGAGTTCAGCTCAGATGGCTGAGCTCATCGCTTTCATACAAGCATGTAAGTTGTCAAAAGACAAAGTGGTGAACATTTACAGTCTTATGCAAAAGTTTAGGCACGCCTTGATAAATAACAGATTTTGGTGATTTTTTATTTGAACAGATGTTAACACAGTTTCTCTTGGAAATGGAAAAAATGCACAATATTTTCTGCAAACAGTGATGCATAGTTACTTCTTATGCCATAAATTGAACAAAAATAAAAAATAAAAACATTATTATGGCATGGTGCAAAAGTTTGGGCACCCTAAGAGTTCCAGAGTCTCAAAGTCTCTCACAAGGTTTCAGACCTTAATCAGCTCGTTAGATCTGATGCACAGCAACAGCTGTCATTGGTAAATGCCAATTTCAAAGCTGTACAAATACTTTGACTCTTCAAACCTTGTGCACACACTTGCGGACACCCAGCAACCATGGGTTCCTCTAAGCAGCTGTGTAAGACCCTGAAAATGAAAGTTATTGATGCCCACAATGCAGGAGAAGGCTACAAGAAGATAGCAAAGCGTTGTCAGCTTGCAGTTTCCACAGTAAGAAATGTAATTAAGAGATGGCAGATCAGGGGAACTGTGGAGGTCAAGATGAGATCTGGAAGACCAAGAAAACTCTCGGACAGAACTGCTCGTATGGTGGTCAGAAAGATAAATCAAAACCCCCATTTGACTGCAAAAAACCTGCAGGAAGATTTAGCAGACTCAGGAGTGGTGGTGCACCGTTCCACTGTGCAGCGATGCTTGCACAGACAAGGCCTTCATGGAAGAGTCAGCAGAAGAAAACCTTATCTGCGTCCCCATCATAAAATCCAACGTCTGAAGTATGCAACAGGACATCTACAGAAGCCTGATGCGTTTTGGAAACAAGTGCTGTGGACTGATGAAGTTAAAATAGAACTCTTTGGACACAATCAGCAAAGGCATGTTTGGAGAAAAAAAGGAGCAGCATTTCATGAACAGAACACCTTGCCAACTATTAAGCATGGGGGTGGATCTATCATGCTCTGGGGTTGTGTTGCAGACAGTGGACCAGGAAACATTGCACGGGTGGAGGGACGAATGGATTCCACTAAATACCAGCAAATTCTGGAAGCAAACATCACACCATCTGTAAAAAAGCTGAAGCTGAAAAGAGGATGGCTTCTACAACAGGACAATTATCCTAAACATACCTCGAAATCCACTATGGAATACCTCAAGAGACGCAGGCTGAAGGTTTTGGAATGGCCATCACAGTCCCCTGATTTAAACATCATTGAAAATTTGTGGGTAGATCTTAAAAGAGCTGTGCATGCAAGACGACCAAAGAATATTACAGAACTAGAAGCCTTTTGCAAGGAAGAATGGGAGAAGATCCCAAGTATAAGAACTGAAAGACTTTTAGCTGGCTATGAAAAGAGTTTGCAAGCTGTGATATCTGCCAGAGGAGGTGTTACTAAGTACTGATTGTGTAGGGTGCCCAAACTTTTGCACCATGCCATAATAATGTTTTTATTTTTTATTTTTGTTCAATTTATGGCACAAGAAGTAACTATGCATCACTGTTTGCAGAAAATATTGTGCATTTTTTCCATTTCCAAGAGAAACTGTGTTAACATCAGTTCAAATAAAAAATCACCAAAATCTGTTATTTATCAAGGGGTGCCTAAACTTTTGCATAAGACTGTATTGGAATTCAACACCACAACAATGAACAGTGTCTAATTATTCACCCCCAGTGGTGAATACTTTTCATAGAAGCAGTAGGCTTTGGGTTTTACAGGCTCAAATTCATAAGCATAAAATGACATCTGAGTCAGAAATAACAGTAACAGCAGAAATAAATTACAAAAATCAATGAATAAATGAAATGGTAAACATTTTTACTGTTTAGATATTAAAACCAAAGTTGAATATTGACTCAACAATCATCAGAAAGTAAATGTCAAAATGTACCTGGTAATCTTTGATAAGGTTCTCTCCAGACTCTTCAAGGAACTCTATCAAGCAGCGGACGACAGCATCTCGTTTACCTTCCACATGCTGCTGTTTCAACAGGTAGAAAAGATTTTTCAAAGAACATTATTGTACACAACTAAGCTGCATATAGAAACAAAGCAACATAATTTTTAGGTCAATCAATGGAGTCTGCTACAAAACTAACCAGAGAATTTTAGGCTTTCTAAACAAGACATGTGAAAGCAGTGAGGGAAAACAAACATATACAGTATCACTGACTTGTCAAAAAAAGGACTGAAGTATCCATGATCAGGAGTTCTAAGTGGTTGTTTAAAAAAATCTGTAAAGATTATTTCAGTTCTCTTCTCATTAAATGTGAGAATTACATTTTATCTGACTGAGTGACTCTAGTATGGGCCTTATCTTCGTGCCTGCAACGCCTGCCTCTCTTTGTCTTAAATATCTCCAGAAATTTGGTGGTGTCGAGGTCCAGTTTTGAGAAAAAGGTCCACCCCAGATGTATTGTTGTTGTTATCCTTCTGAACTCTTCTTTGATCTGAAACAAAAGGTGATAAAACACAATAATCTAATAATGAAAGCATCCAAGGTGGTCAACACTTTTTATAGATACTGCCGATCCTCCTTCTTGAAGGTGACAATGTACAGTTTGGTTCAAACCATTTCAGAGAGGTGTTATATGCTCATACAGCAGGATGTGAACTGTACTGCTGTTGAACTGTAATGCAATACAATAAAATTACCTCCTGTAAAAAGACCAAGTTGAAAAAACCCCCCTCTAAAATAAAAAAAAAAAAAAAACATTTTTTTTAAAAACTCAAAGCCTCAGTGAATGTAGAATGTCTAGGGCTGTATTAGCAAGGAGTATCAAATAAACTGGGGGATTGAGTGCATTTTACTAATTATCTTGCAACCTGTACACAACAATCACAGCATCAGCTGATGAAACAAAGGACCACATTTACCTGAGCTTCACAGAACAGAGCAGGTCATCTCTCAATGAAGTTTTGGACAGCAGGACAATGCTTGGCCACTTCTAGTCTTCGATAGGAGAAGGGTTTCTAAATTTTTTCCATGAATTATCTTGTCATTGTTTTTCTTCATTCTTTCCATCTCTAATGTTTTACACACCCATCTCATGTTGTGAGCACCTGGAGGGGAAAAACCTCCAACAACCAAAACAAATCATGTTACTAAAATACGTTACATAGAACATGTCAAACTGAATTTATAAGTACTAATTTGATCAACTTACCCTGCACCAGCTGTTAAGACCAACTTGCTGATCAAGTCAATTTCTTTTAATAATCTGTAAAATATATCAGGTACAATATATCAAATGTAATATGTATATAAAGAAACGACTCTTGCAAAAACACTATTCTCCCACTGACATACAACATTAAAGCAAGTAATTACTGATTTTGGGTGAGATCCTAAAAGGAGAGACGTTAACAATGCAGCCCACAGAGCCACTAATGATGGTAAAATAACGGCACAATACCAAGCTAACTTTACAGCCGACTGGCAGCAGAGACAGAGCCAGACTGGAAATATGTAAAGTTAGATACGACCAGCCATCGTGACAGATCATAATCGGCTGTATAGCGGTTAAGTGTGTGCTGGCTTTCGGAAACTGCGCGTGAAGCCACAAATATGCCACTGAAATAATTAAGCAACGCTATATTTTCCGCAGGTAATGAACTGGCGTTAGCCTATTGGTAGCTTATTTTGGGTCAAGTGCATAAAATTAGCACCGCTAGCTAGCTAGCTAATGTTGAGCACTAAGGCTACATCGAATAACAATGTTAAGTATTTATTAACCAAACGGTGACTTCAGTTGACAAGCTACCAGAACAGTAAAATAACCAAGAACACAAACATACTTACCTTCACAGCCACCGTCATAATTTTCCTATTAAAAAAATCCAAAAAGTCGTCTGTATGTCCCTCTCAAACTCAACCGCCATTCAAAAAGTCCTGGTTTGTTTGGCGCGCAAAATGACGTCACCCACCGAGTTTGGAGAGTGTTGCCAGATTTGCTCACATTACCCAAGTAAAGTTTACTTCCTCTCAAGAAGTTAAGGCAGACAATGCATTAGTGTAGTTAATATTACTTGTTATTGTCATACAACCTTCACTTGTATAAACGATTATACAAAATTACATACAAACATCAAGTATCACATTAAATTCGAGGTGAAATTCTGAATTAAATTTACAAACACGAGAATTTCTTGTAAAGTTTAAACATATTATTAGACTAATATTTACTGGGTCAAAAAAATCATTTTTTGCAGTGAAGGTGGAAGAAAGCATAGAAAAAGGACAGAGAAGACAAACTGGATCGAATGGTGACATGGGATGAGTTAGGTTGAGGTAGGAGAGACAGAACGAGTTCGCTCCCCCTCATTCCTCCTCCTTTCTCATTTTTTTCGGAGTCGTTCTGCTCTGATGGCTCACAGAGAAGCAGCAGAGGCAAATCTGCTCTCTGCAGCTGCTCCTAACTACAAATGAGTTTAGCCTGCAATGAAATGAACTCCTCACAGAGCCCTTACTTCACTCCAAGAAGAGGAAAACATGCAAAGTCAGATCTCTGGAGTTCATTTATGGTCTTAAAGCCAAACAGAAGAAATGCTGCCTAATCTGTGCACCCTACAGGGCAGTAATGCATAGGCCATATATCACAACATTCATTCCACATCTCTCTTTCCCATTTTCCTCTCAGCCCTTATTTGGTTAGAATAAAGGCATAAATTAAATTATTAGTTTAAAAAGATAAAAGAATTCAGAGTGATTGGCAACAGTTTCTTATAGTTAACTGCTTCTCTACCACTTTAAGTTTAGATCTTTATTTTGACACCTGGACTTATTTTATAATAAATAAGCAAGTAAGAATTCATTTTTAACAATTGGCAAAGTATATGAGCAATTGTTGGGGCTGAACATGACCTTGAGATTTGGATTTCATCGTGTGTGTGTAGAAGTGCATGTATGTGTGTGTGTGCGCGCGCACCTGATATTACCCGCATTGTGGGGACTGAAACCTGTTTACACACTCATACTGTAAGGACTCAGCCTTTCTCATGTAAATCATTCAATTTAAGGGTGATAACTTGGTTTCAGGTTAGAGTAAGGGTTAGGGAAGTAGTGGACATGGTTAGGGTCAGCGCAAATCTCCAGGAAATGAATTGACTGGAGATTTACTCACTATAAAGGCCACACAGAAACAAAAACAAATGTAGGTGTATTTTCCTCTGTGACCTGGGGGGTTCACATATTCTCCCACTTCCCTGGGTTTGAGCTGTGCAGCAGTTTCACTGTAGGGTTCTCTAACTGTGCTACTAGCTGGGCTTTGATGCAATCACACAGACAAAAACTGTATTCCAATTTTGGAGCAAAAGCTGTCTAGTCTCCTTTCTGAGTCTGGAAACACAGTGAAGGCCATAACCGCTGTGCCTCGTTTCACTTCAACAACCAAAAACTCTTTGTAGTTACTGGCTGCACTGTAGGAAGGTAAGACACCAATACAATTTAATTACGGCTTAAAAGGCCAGATAAGAAAAAAACACTGTGTTCCTCTCATCTATTTCAATTATAAGGACAAATTAAGAGAAGCGTTTAATTGTAGTGGCACGACAAACATGCAAGACATTTGCACTCCTAAAAGATGGTGTTGTGCATCACATTAAAACGCATTATGTGCCAGATCTAAGTAGAGTACATGTAAATGCTGAATGTGATGAGCTAAGCCACAACCTGATATGGTCAGACTTGAATAAGATGTTGGATGAGTGTGGAGTCTCTGCACAACCTGTAAAATTGTTATAATTAGCTTTAGTAGATATTTTAAGTGCTTTATATCTCAACATTGTAATTTCTTTATTGATACTTGCTGACTCTAGATATAATGCATCAATAAGCTGCACCTTTATATATATTTCCCTGTTCTCCTCTCTTGTCCATGAATGTCTTGTTCCAGTAGCCCACTTCTCATCAGGTTGCCCTGGTTCCTCAACACCTGACGCGGACCTTGTTGACCTGGACGATGTCCGAGCCGGTGTGACTCGTATTTTTCCAACTCTCATTATGGATGAGGTAGGCAGATAGCATTAAGGGCCTTGCCTAAGGACCCAGGCAGGATATTGACCATGCCCTGACCGGGGTTCGAACCCCCGACCTTCCGTACCAAAGTCAGTGGTGTTACCCACTGTTATCCTGTCTGCTAAGGATAAAACAACAAAAATCCATGAATACATCAGGAAGTTGGCCCCGAGTGATGACGTGCTTGGTGAACACCTCAGGCAGCAGAAACCAGAGGAAGTAGGGAAGGAAGAGCAGGAACCCTCATGGAAGGACAAACCTCTGCACAGTATGTATCACTGTCAAATAGTAGAAGTGGCTGATATCAAAAAATCCTACCAGTGGCTGGACAAAGCTGGACTGAAAGACAGCACAGAGGCACTAATCCTGGCAGCACAAGAACAAGCTCTAAGTACAAGATCAATAGAGGCCGGGGTCTACCATACCAGACAGGACCCCAGGTGCAGGCTGTGCAAAGATGCCCCTGAGACAATCCAGCACATAACAGCAAGGTGCAAGATGCTAGCAGGCAGGGCATACATGGAAC